AAAAGTTCGATATATCTACAGAGCACCGTACGAATAGTTGGAATACCTGAGGCAAGAGTTAACGTTATGAAACCCGCAGTAGGTACTACCAGGATTAGTAGGTGTAACGGTTGCTACCCGCTCACGCACGCCAAGGCAACACGCCGGGATCGACCCTTCAGTTCGTGAGGATTATACCGAGGGTAAGTAAACTACAAGCATCTACATATTTGCGGGGAAAGATCAATGCTGTTTTTGTGGGGAAGGATGGCGGGGGAGACAAGCATAAAATACCAGATCACATACAAGTTATCTCGGTGGTATGTCGGTGATTCTGCGGGGTGGCACATGGGGGTGCACTGTGCGCAAGAAATCATGGAATCTCACTCGTCAGTTGAGAATCTAGCCCCATTCAGCCATTCGTGGTTCACTGTGATGGATGACGTTTAGTGTGGGGGTCTGGTTGAGAACGGTGAAGTAGCCGCTTCTTGGAGAACTTTGGTATCGAGGAATGTATCTACAGTACCGTATGTATGTATCCCTCCTCATTGATGCATTGTCGGACTACTGGCCGGTGGTGTATAATTCGGTGGGTGATATCAACCGCGATCCAGGAGCTGTTAGACTAGTTATCGATCCGAATACGATCACCGTTCAACTACTAGAGACGAAATGCGTACCTAGATATATACCTTTCAAAGATTGCGGTTCTTTCTCAAATCCCGACGATTACTAGCTTTATTATGTTCTTATCTAGCAGCAAAATTCTCGAGTTCTACTTGTGGGGTGGTCGAGCGCCCTGTAACTCTTTGTTAATTTGAAAATCTAAGTAGCATGCAGAGTGGAAGGACATTCATACATCACTAGGGTTTCTTCCTTGTGCCTACATGAATCCTTGCTACTATCCTAGGAAACGAAAATTGACTCTGACGAATAGGGACCCCCTAGCCAGGTTAGCTATCATAATAGTCAGCTTCTACTAAGTATTGTATCTGCTGCTTGTCTAGACTCTTTACCTCTTTTGTCGACGCAATTGTGGAGTACTTCTTAGGAGCTCTAGATCGATCGTTCTGCCCTTGCACACGAAATAATTCAATTCGGTTCGGTCTTATTGTTTCCGTGAATGCCAAGTTATTACGGATAACGAATGAGTATGAGAAGGCGTAGCGGAGAGCCCTTGGTGTTTGCTAGGCTTGCTTCACCCCGGTTGGAATTGAATCTGAAGAATCTCACTGGGCCCGAGGAATTTTAACGGTAGAAAACCAGGACAATTTCATGTCGACAGGTAAAGTTTCATAGGTATTTAATTTGGGTTCTGTGAATCGATTCTAGCTCAGTGCATTCCCCTTCCCAGCTAACATTATCAGAATGTGTGGTGTAGGGCAGCCGTACGAAGTGCCCATCGATGATGGGTTAAGGCTACCATCACAGAAAGCCAACTATCCCTTCAATTCTCGAAACTCCGCTACCTATGGCTCGGAAACTTTGAAATCTGGTCCAAAGTGAGACGGCTTGGCACCGGGGTTAGGTGATATGAGACTGAGCATTGAATCATTTTCTCGTGCCAAGCCGGTCCCCAATCTCTGTTTTTGGTGAACCAGGTTTAAGGGTACCGGAGTCATCCAATAAACATGGGAACGGAGTATAATTTGGTTGTGTATTAGTTACATGCATGCCTCTCCCGCCTCTTTAGCTTTAGTCATCAAATTTTTATATGTACTTGTACTTATTATCAGCGTCTTAAATTTACCAACATGCATGATTAAATTTGCCAAGTATGTCTACGTATACAGCGAGGGAACAACTCAAGGTTGATAGGAGGAAGTTGTACGGTTATCGTGATTCTGGTCGAGCAATCACTCAGGATCAACATTAAAAAGTTTCCAGATATCCTATGTCTACATACCTATGTACTCCTCTTAACGAACACTCGCTCAAAATCACGTCATCGTCCCCTCAGATCCCCTTCTCTGCGTCTTCCAGCAGTCTCTTGACAGACTTCATGCCCTCCTTAGCCCAGCCGTCCAACAACCCGCTTTCCATTTCTTTCGAATGCTCCTCCTCCAGAAATACCTCTACACTAAACCAACCTCTGAACCCCGTTCTCAGAACTGCCTCTACCATATCTAGCACTGGTAAATACCCGCCCTGGTACGGCACCGGTCTACTCGCATGACTCCACCTCCCCCTTGGCGGGGTCTCCCCCTCTCGCTCTAGCGGCGGCACCATGTGGTACGCATCCGATATCTGGAAAAAGAATATCTTTTCTGGATCCACTTCTTTCTCAAGCTTCTTTAACGAGGCTTTGTAGGTCTCGTCGGCGTTCTCGATCTTCCCGGAAGGAACACAGGGGTCCCCCCATTCTAGTGAAGCTGTCTGGAATGTGTCGAGGCAGAGCCCAAGGTTGGGGCGGTCAGCGAGCTTTATCACTTCATTGATATGTGCCCAGGTATTGACGTGGGCACCCCAGGCCCAGTTCTCGTATGCGATACGACGGGGGTGGTATAAGTCTGCCAGGGCCGCGAGGTCTCTGGCAACTTCGGGGAATGAGGAAATGCTGGATGGGTCGTCGTTTGACCCGACCTGGTAGTAGATAATACCCACTTAGTCTCATAGAGCGCCGGGTATGTTGTCAAAGGGCCAAGTACTACTCACTTGAAGCATATCACACCCCACCGCATCCATGATCCTCATCCATCCCCTTGCCTTGTCAAAGGCCTTTTTTCGCTTCTCTGTTCCCTCCGCATATCCTTCAAAATTTGAGAATGGCTGAAATACAAGTACCTCAAGTTTCAACTCATCACAAAGATGTCTGACGTGTTCAGCGGCTTTGCACAGGTTATCATAGTCATCCTCGGCAAGATCTGAATTTCGAAGGTATTGGCGCGCAAAAGAGAGGAGGTCGTCGAAGCCAAGTTCGAAGCCTTGGTATCCAGCTGTGGAGATGGCAGAGAGCTTGAGCGGGAGCGTATGCGTGGGGTGCATCCCTAAGGAGGGCGTTGCATATGACAACTTTATGCTTGAGAGATCGGACTTTGACATTTTTACAGGGTATCTATGAGATTATTCTTTTCAATCAATTCAGAAGGTGCACTGGGTAAAAGGGTATGTATGTATCGTGATTTTCGTTTGAGTCTGCGATGGGTATTTCGGAGAGATCCTAAACACTTTATCTCACTACTATTTACGGTACGCAGATATGTCGTCATGGTTGCGTTCAGAATCCTGCCAAGGTTCAGGGTTGTCTCTTAAGCTTTGGAAGAATGGAAGAAGATGTCTTTAGAAAGGGATAAACAGAAAAGGTGTTCATGACATCATTGACGTGGTATTTTGAGGGATGGTGGATCGTCGCCACGTGCAGCGGAGGTTTATGTCAGCTGCATGAACGCTCACTCGAATAGATTACAGAAGCACCCAAGGTCTAAAGAAACTTTCCGGATAAACCCGTCAGATCCTTCACACATTGTCTCTGTGGAGAGAGAAGATGTTGGGACGTGGGGTAAGGTAGAGCGGGGGCAGTATATATTCCGGAGTTTGGGGTGCCACGTGCATGAGTCGAAGCTTATCAATCTTCGTCTCTACGCATACATTACTCGGGATCTAGAACCCGCTACTCTGGAGAGAGAGGGAGGACAAGTGGGTAAGGTGCATGTAGGCTTCCTCTCAATTGCGTACGACACGGCGTCCCGGGATCTTGGTTCCGCAAGAATGACCGATACCTACAATATGTCAACTGTGGGGTATGCTGTAATATAAAGAGACACATGGTCAACTCTTATATTATGCAACGCTTACATGAAAGAGCCGATACATCCGGTCAAAAATCAAGCAATATAATTCTGTACGATGGGTGCTAGTGAGCGTTGCGCACGGGTTTGAAGCCTGATATAATTGTCAAAATCGTCCCTCATTTGCCTTACAAAGAAGGATGTGACTTATAAGAAGCATGAGCTTGAAGCTAAGCAAGTTTTCAAAGTCAAATATCCAGCGTTATAAGGATACTTGTTATACGGGAATATCGAGTTCCGGCCCCGAAAATATGCGCACAGAAAATGTGTGAATATTAATAACGCATTCATTATTCACCGAGTCCAACGGCCACTAAAGTCATATGCGATAATTAATACAAATATCAACAACAGAGTTGTCTCTTTATGCGTTCCTTTTCCCAAGGAACTCGGGCCGACGTCAAAATAATGATATGTATATATCACAAAGGAATGTTTAAACAAAATGTTCATTACTCAACAAGCTTCTGGATCTGATATCACTCAAGCACGTATACGAATCCTCATGCGCATGATCAAAATTTCCTACTCAATAATTCAAATCAGATAGAAAAAAAAGGGAACTAACAGTAACTTGACTCAACTATCAGAAGGCATCATGAAATAAAACTTTAATCAGAGATATTCGCCGGAGATTTAATACCCTGCCGTAGATCAGCCTAAAAGCTCCCGGTTACACGGTGCAGATACAACCCTACACATAAAGTAAGCATAACTATGAAACTCGCGAGGGGGCACTTCGGAGCATTATTAAAGCTTGAACACCTGATATTTTACAACCTAGATGTCTCCACTACTTGCTTGGCCAACCCAAAATAGGCTTAGTTAACCACAACCAGAAGGACAAAAGAAGGGCCAACGGCCCGGGGCCGCAAAACCGTTAATATATCATAGGGAGGGCTTTGTACCTGAACAGAAATTAAGAGTTGGAATTTGTAAGTATATAGGAGCTGATATTCAAATTTACAGGGGCAATAACCCAACGATGCTATTCCGTCGGTCCGAAAGGCTTTTTTTGTTCCCCCATGACTATTTTGCACAGAGGAATTCAATCTTGCGCGCCAAAGAAGTGGAGAATGTTCATTTATTCATCCTGGGAACTCTCCCCTGAAATCTTGGACTAAAAACTATATAAGTTGGATAAACTCTCCTTTCTCCTATAGCTATCAATTGAGAACTATCAATCCATACATATACACATACGTTCGTACAGCATTCGATATTATCAATAAGATGGTTTCTGCATCTCTCATCTTTTCCGCTCTGGCGCTCTTGGCCTCTCAAGCTGCTGCGCATGGTGGTGTCGGGAAGTACATCATTGGTTCTACTGAATACAAGGGGTATAGATATATCTTTCTTCTTATTAATAAGAACTAAGTATTAATTTCTTTATTCAACTATAGTTGGGAACCATATAATTCTGCAACTGGGCAGTCTACTATCCAGAGAAAATACAGCAGCTACGATCCCATCCTCACTCCTACGGGAACGAACATCAGATGTAACAACGCTGGTGAAACCTCTCAACTCAGTGCGACAATTGCAGGTAAGCTCGAGTCCGATAGCTGAAGTCCACCTTCAACCCTTCACTCCTGTGGGCTGTTGTTAATAAGATCTATCACAGCTGGCACTGATATCACTGCGGTCTGGACCCAATGGACCCATGCTGAAGGCCCAGTAACTGTATATATGGCTAAGTGCCCTGCCAGTTGTGCGGACTTTGATGGCAGCGGTGCAGTATGGTTCAAAATCGACGAGGCTGGACTTTTGTCAGGCACCATCAACAAGGGAGAATGGGGTAACGGTATTATCTTGAAGACGCTGAAATGGACTACAACTATTCCGGCCAGTCTTACTCCTGGAAACTATATTATTAGGGTTCGTACATACATATATGATCGTTTCTTATATATTTCGACTGTTAATCATTAACTTTCTCATCATGTACAGCACGAAGTCCTCGCTCTTCACCAAGAACTCACTCCCCAATTCTACCCAGAGTGCGCACAACTCACTGTCACTGGAAGCGGTACCGCGTCGCCTTCAGGCTCTTACCTCGTCAGCCTTCCCGGTGCTTTTAGCATGTCCGATCCAGGTGTTTCTGTTAGAATAACCTCAGACACCTCCACCACGTACATTGTTCCTGGCCCTGCAGTCTGGCCTGGGACTGGATCTGGAACCGGCACTACCCCTGTAGTTACCTCTGCTGTGTCGTCGGCGGCGCCTGCTGCCTCTACATCAAGTGTGGCTTCTGTCGTCACTAGTGCTGCTCCAGCTTCTACTGGTGCTGCTGTAGCGAAGTTCGGCCAATGGTAAGCTAATTATTTCCCACCCGCTCCTGCTGTCGGCTATATGTGTCTGATATTATGGCGAATTATTTAGTGGTGGTATTGGGTACTCTGGATCTACAACTTGTGCCTCTGGTTCGACTTGCACAAAGGTCAACGATTATTACTCACAGGTACATTCCATATTCATATTTTGGCTCAGAACCATCGCACAAACCCGATAGCTAACACACCGCGAACTGTACTTAGTGCTTGTAACACCCTCGTATTTGATTGATTGCGGGGTGGGGATATGATGACAATAGGTCAAGGGGGGAGCCGGGAAGTCAAAGGGGGAGCCGGGAAGACCAGGAGGGAGTGCTGGGAGAACTTTTTCCTTAGATTTCTTTTCTATGTAACTATTTATCTATCGATCGTATTGAGTCCTATGTAGTTGTTTAGTTATCGCATTTAAGAGGTTGAAGCTCGCTATCTTTAGAACAAGCTTTTCCTGCTCGTTTAACTGGAAATCTAATTCGGTTGTGTTTAAGATTCAAGTCTCCAACCAATCAGATGGTTGACTTGAAGATCTTTCAGCCCCATTTTTATGCACCCCGCATAGAAGTGCTGAGTTTTTCCCCTCTAAAGGATAGTGCGATCCGCAAATCAGGTAAAAATGTGATGATCGATGGCGGGGTTGAATTCCAGGAGGGTATCAGCGAGTCATGGAGTATCACTCATTCTCAATTCTTAATTGCTGGGACTTCTCCGCACCTTACCCAAGCCTCATCACTCACCTGAGTAAAAACGCAAAATAATTCGACGACTAGCAATGACTTTAGCGAATATCTTCAGGATGTTTCAGTCTCGACCATCCTCCATTGATCTCGATTTCCACGTCACATTATATTATCTTTCTCGTTTCTTTTTGGAGTAAGCTCGTACTTGTGTACCTACATGCCAATATCTTGTTGCAATTGCCGGTCCTCCCGTAAACCTATCGTACCACTGCATGTGCAGCTAGCTACCTACCAATCATGAGTGAAGCATCTTTGATCAGAAGTACCGATTAGTAATCGATAAAGAAACCAGCTTCTAGCTAAATATAACACATATACGAGGTGCCTATGATCTAGGCGATTTCTTTGGAAATCCTTGTTAATACAGATTTTTATCTACAGGGTGTGGGCAATGTGTACCCAGATTCTTGTAATCTGTACGAGGGTTAGGGACATTAAAACAACCAATAATAAGAGGTGCAGAAATTTCTGCCCCAATTCTCGACATGACCAACTCGCACAGCGAAAAGCTTGTAATACCGGTGCATCATACGTCCATGACTGTGGACTGAGTTTGTGGCCAGTCATAATCCTGCAGGGTCATGAGCATTTGGGGCATCTAAGACGATCCCGGAACCAATTTCAGCTGCATGCAAGTCTGTGCTGACCTCGAACAATCAAATCCTTGTTATCTGCGCTTGTTAAAGTTCTCGTTTCTTACGTTGAGTACACGCACATGTATACGATCATCTAAGACGGCGATATAAATTTCATTCCACTGGTTAATACTTATCCAGGTGGCCAGCTTATGGGACTGTAGAGTATAAGTAAATTTACTAGTGCTCTTTGAATTGGAGAGTGCCGTATCTGTGATGAACGAACGAACGAACGTCGTCAATGGGATATATAAGTACACTTAGATATATACACTCTCCAAGTGTGCTTCTATTCAGCCGCTCCGTGCTGTAATAATAGCCATCATTTATGTGCTGTCAAGCTATTAGGGCACTTGAGTGTGTCGGTAGCGATATTTTCATAGATCCACCAGTAGGTATTAACGGTTTCTGTGGGAGCACAAAGCTCGGTTTCGATTTGCACCGCAAAGGGCATATTTCGTCCCGAATACCTTCGCACTCAGTCTGTAACCAACCATAGTTACATAACTTGAAGCCCTATGGGTATCAAAAGCAAGTACCCACATCCCGACAAACAGGATAAACAGGTGCGGTTTACTTCAAATTAATATAGCTTTTACTTAAAATATGTTTTTTAGAAGCTTCTTTTAGCATCCCGGATATGGCGAGCCCTCGATTGGACGTTCGATTGGACGTTCGATTCCTCGGAGTCTATTATGATAACTGACGGATGCGTGGCATTTGAACAATGGGCTGGAGTCGATCTGGCTTACAAGCGCATGTGTCTCCTCCCCACTGAGACAGAACGGCAGGCGAAGTAGAAGTTCCTCTGTAGAGATTTGTGGAACTACAGCTGTAACTCTCCTAAACAGAACGCCATTATACCTACAGTGGATGAGCGCTGGTTGGTTGATTGGTGGTAGTAGAGAAAACCTGCTCAAATGATCAACCGTAGTACATATATTACAACACAATTAAGAAACACCGTTAGACATATGCATGTTTTGAACGGTTATAACTATATATATGGTACTCAACGATGTTAATACCCAAAAAATAACACTATCAATTCCATAGTCGCACAGGTCTGGTAGCAATGCTGTAAGGCCAGGGCCTGGTCAGCTGGTCAACTTCCTTGTGACACTACGTCCTACATCAAGGCCTCCGGCCGTCTGACTAACTCTAAGACCACTATCTCCATAATCGATGAGTTTCGAAGAAATTCTGAACCCTGTATCGTGCCATGGCCGAGAAGAGTGTTCCCATCATATTAAGGTACTAAAAGGGTTCTCAAGCCATCTCTCGGCCTTTGGCTATAAATAATTGATGCTCATATTATGATCATTACCCACGTCTACGTTGATAATTTATAATGCTCAGAATCGTAGGTTTTTATAAATTTAGTAAATAATACTCCCTCCAACTTGATTTCGTTTAAGCAATTGCAATTAAGAATGCATGAGAAGACATTATAATTATGGCAAAAAGCGCTGACAGAGCTTGGAATATTTCCTATAAATTAGTAAAGTTCAAAAACAATGTTTTCAGAGTAAATATATATATACAGCAAAACCTACCATAATTCCACCCCCACGGTGGCTAAGCTTTGCTGGAAGTATCGTAGGGATGGAATCTAGAGAGAGGTATTTGTTAGCAAAACACAAATTCCGTTCCCTCCGAACGCTGGAAGTTTGGTAGGGATGGAATTTCGAGAGGGTGGAATTATGATAGGTTTCTCTGTATACTGATGAGCACATTATAAGCAAAGCAAGGCATGCTTTTGCAGGCGTACCGGGAAATCTCGTGGTCAGCTTAATCCCATTAATCAAAATATCTCCAAGGCATTCATTGACTTATAATTATACAACCGTATGGTTTTAACGAACTCGATCATGGACGCAAGGGAGCTAGAAGTTTCCTTTCACACAATTGATCCCTACCACGCGTGCACGGCTTGACTTGACAGAAACTCAACGTTTCACAGTACATACATGTATGCAAGGGTTGTCGAACAGCCAGTTTCTTTACATCTATTTCCGGAAATATTTTTCTATAGCTCATTTTTACAATTCATCATAGTCGAGCTGACATGTTCCAGCATGATGGCCAGTGCACACCATGCATAGAGAAATTCGAAAGTAAGGGTCGATCAGCCTGAGTTGTAAATTTTCAACAGGATCGTGCGATCACAGATGTACATACTTTTCCTGTACATGCGCATGGTGTGAATACGAGGATCGTGCAAAGCTTCTCCAAGGGCCTCTTGGGGTGCACCCTTCCGAATGACCAAAGCTAAGACTGTCTGAATACGAGATCATTGACATCTCTCAAATTATATAAACCACGATGGATGGCCCTCAACAATAGCTCTTCACTCCACACCGAGCATCTATCATTCCAGCTTCCTCAAGGCCTTCAAAGCAACTCTCGCTATCAAAAAAACCATTCGCTTTATCTTCCACCTCAAAACTTCTCTACACCTTCAAAATGCAATTCGCTACTGTCATCATTGCCTTTGTTGCTCTCGCAACCTCCATTTTCGCCAGCCCCATTCTTGAGGAGCGCGAGATCAAATACTGCGGGTCCCAGCCGTACGACCCTACCAAGGTAAAGAACACCAGTAAATTGATCAGTTAAGAGTCATAGCTAATGTGCTGAATTATTAGTACACCTGCTTCCCAGGAAATTACTTGTGCCCAATTGAAAACGGTGTCGTCTACCAGAACTGCAAGATTGCCTGCTACAACCCAGCTGCCTATGCTTGCAAGAACGGCCAGCTTACTCCCGTTACCACTTGCAACGGTCAAGTCTTTGACAAGAACTCCGTGAGTCCTCTCAAATAGATATATTTAATAAGCAAGACTCTGATTTTGAATGTCTCCCTAGTACGTTTGCATCAACGATCAGCAGCTTTGCCCTGTCACATACCCCAACCTTTGCGGAAAGGCTTGCTACAAGACCAGCGAGTACAAGTGCGTCAACGGAGCTCTCCAGCAGGTTTAGTTTGACCATTTGGTCTTCATACGGCGGGTATACACATGGTATGAGATGATTTGAAGATGGAGGATATCAGGGTTTCATGGACGCTCCTTGTATATTTCATTTGTTGCTTTTGTGGAAAAACTTGCTGGGCTCTTAATTGAGTCTGGTTTGTTTCTTGATTTACATATATCACTCCTTGAATCTTTATGTACTCAATCATAAAAATCTAAAACCAACTTTTTATAGTTATATCGAATTTCCACATATTAATTCTGTGCACGTGAAATCGATGGATTACATAGGCTCCATCCATTGTATAGCTTCTAGTAACTATTTAGAGCTGTAAGAGTATACTATTACTATTTTTAGTCAAACGAATTATTATAAGTACACATGGAATAAACCAAATACCAGCCACCTCCCAGAAAAAGCTTTTTAGATGCGGATATCTTCACCATAGATCTAGACAAGGTTGAGTCTAAGTAAGGGAACAATCCTAGGCTCATATCGAGTTATACACTCCACGCCAATTGGTCAGAATGCCCAGCTAAGTGCTGCATGTGCATCTGTACGATCGGATCCTCCTGACCGGCCGGCAAGTACCTCATCAGGTAACCAAAGGTAGAAGGCCCACGAACGCAGGACGCAGGGTC